ACATGAGAAGTGTGCACTGAGAATAAGTTCCAACTTGTCGTCCACAAGCTTCACTCTCTTTTATCAGTCAGTGGCTTAAAAACGTTTAACTTCTCAGAATATAATTCAAAACACAAGATCATTGTATTGAAATTAATTTTTATATATTAATGTTTTGTTCCAGTGAGTCTGACCTTTCAACTGGTCTTCAACAGCTTACCTGTTTTTCTAAATGTATTTTAAAGTATTTATTTGGACTGTGGTTATTGTTTTTTTAGTAAGCCATGACAGCAAAACCGGTAGTTCTGGAAATATTAGAAAGTCAAAAAAATTGAGTACCTTGTGGAATTTTAAAGAGAACATCACACACTCAAAATGTTATGTTGTAATAATGTGATTCGGTGGGGAAAAAAAATTTCACCTCACAAGACGATGTAAAAATCTGTGACTCTTTTCTTCCACGCAGTTTAATCCTTCAAAAAAAACTTTGGACCAATTATTGTTCTGACTTTCTTAAAACCTTTATAGTAATGCGTTTTTGTCACAGTTGATTTCCGCCTTGTAGTATTTTGTACGTCAGCGTGTTTTGTTTCAGATCCACATTTTCCAGATTTTAAAGCAAATGTTTCAAACCAAACGTGTATCTACTGAGCATTTATTCATAACCTGCAATAAGAAATTGTTTGCTGACACCAATAAATCACAACTTAAAGGCTTGTACCAAAATATTTATTACCATAATTCAGCAGAATAACGACTCATCAAAATAAACTGATAGGCAATTCTGATATATTGATATGAAATGCTTTATTTATGGCTATGACATAGTACTTAAATAATATGTAAACAACTATCAACTAACTTATTCTTGAGAATACACAAGAGAAATTAAAACAAAGAAAATACTTCAGAAAGGAATTTGTTTTTACATTTTTTATAAAGTAAATTCATTTTACTTTATGAAATAAATGCATTTTTTATTTAAAATAAAAAATGCATTTTACTTTTTATTTAAATGAAATGCATATTTATATTCATGATTTAGCTCATTCAAATCAGGGTGGTGTTGAAATTATTACAAAGTTTTTGTTTTATTAATCGTCCATTCCATCCATCATCTTCCTATTAACCTGGGGTCAGGCCATGGAGGCTCCTTTGGGGGAATCCCAAATTCTCAGACCAGAAGAGAAACGTCGTCCCTCCAGGGCGTCCTGGTTCTTCCTCTGGTCTCCTGTCCTCCTGATGTACCCGGAACATCTTAACAAGGAGCCTAACTTCACAATAAGTTCTTTTCCCACAACCTTTGACCTCAGGTGTAGCTGTTTCATCTCTTCCACCACAAACTGGTGGGTCAGTTAATTTTCTTTCCTTGGTTAACCTGTTCAGAGTCAGACGTTACTGCTGGTTTGACTGATGACTCCTGGTCTCTGTTGTGGCGTTTTGTTAAGCCTGGTGAACTATATCGGGAGACGTATATTGATTCGAGTACCACAGGGTCTTCAATGACCCTGAAAATAACAACAGAGAACATCTTATTTTGTGCTTTTTTTCCCTTTTTCGTGCATTTGAAGCAAAGTGAGTTAAATCTGACAAACACATCAGATGATAAGAAGGCATAGTGACATATTAACAATTTAAATTGTTCTAAAGCTAAAGGCTACATAAATCTGCAGTCCTTGAAATACAAAGAAAAGAGAGATGGTAGTAAAAGCAGACAGAAGTGGACCAATATTTCAAGAATGTGTCAAAGCAAGAGAAAGCACAGGAGTGTTACTGTTTACTTTGTGATGTGTATGCATTATATGCACGCCCTAATCACTTGAGATTAACTGGCTACTCCTACTTCCACTTAATATTAGACCAACCTGTTGTCTTCCATTCTCTCTTCTGTACTGTTCTTCTTCTCTTCTCCATCCATGAGTGTTCCGCTAAGTGGGTTAAAAAATACAGAAGTCAAACTACATGAAGACATTTAAACTTAAAGGTATAACGACCAAGTTCTATAAGTTATCTGTTTAGTGATTCATCATCTAGTTATACACATAACTGTCTGAAGAACAAAATAAGCACAAAGAAATTCCTGTATTTTTCTCAAATGACATGGAATATATTTAAAAACTAATGCAAAACCAACAAGATTTAGACTTTTTCTTTGCAGATTTTTTCCACAGGTTTGTGAAATAAATTATTGTTCTCATTATCTGTAATAAGGAGAGGAGTGCCATCTAGTGTTTGTAAATACAAATTGCAGACGGCAGTCAAAATAGGGGCATAAGGGACACTTAAATGAGGCGAATGCGAAAGCAGTTGGATACTCCATTACACACGCGGGTTTGCAACTCAACAACAAAACAAGAAATATTTTCAATTTTTGTTTAAAACAGTTTCTGTCCCACATCGTTAACCGTCTGTTGGGCTCATTACTACATGTGGGAGGGACACCAGCAAAGGAGGTGAAGGAGCAGAGCGGCTCCTATTCTCTTATTGATTAAATAAGCACATGCACAAACAGCCGTTAAATTCAGAAAATGCCAACTGGCAATCATTTTTACGTTTACGCCAATGAGAAAGCAGAATAAATATTGGTGTAAATGAGGAATAACTATTAAAAGGGACTTACTTCAACATGTCCAACGCTTCTTCATTCATCATAACAGAGTTGATTTTTGTTGCATCTTTATGTTCCCTGTGTGATTAAATATATTTTCATCACACAATCGGCTGATTGAGACATTTACCAGTCTATTATGTTGCACATTCTCAGCAACAAGGCAGTTCAAAGTTCTTTACATGAATTAGAAGGAAATTCAAACAAAACAATGAAGCCAAAACTACATATTGGTTCCTCATTTTAAGAATAAGTAGTGTGTAATGTATAAACTATTAGGGGTTTCTCTGGATTCTTGTTCTGATAAAATTAGATGTTGGGTCTCCATGTTTGGCAAGATTAGTGAGGTATACCAAATATTGTTTCTCCATGTTTGATTTTATTAGTAAGCATAAAATTAAATGTTGGTTTCAGCTGTTCTGGGTTGAGTTGTAGATTTGTACAGTATAAAGCTAAATGCTGGTTCTCCATGTTTGCTTCTTGTTCTGGACTGCTAAGTAAACTAACAGGAGTTTCTCTAGGTTTTGGTCCAACATTAAACGTATAAAGCTAAATGTTGGTCTAGAGTAATGAGTACTCCACAATTTCTAAAAGTAATAAACTAAGCAGCTTTCTGTTTTAAATTCTTGTCTAAAGTAATAGAGGTGACCTTTTTGTTAGTAAATGCAATAATTATAAAGATGAAGAACTATTGGTGTAAATGAAGAACAAGAATAAAAGTATCTTACTGAGAGTTGATGTCTGATGTATCTTTATGTTTCCTGTGTGATCAAATATAGTTTTATCACAAACATTCATCATTTGATTGAGACATTTACTGAGATGATATAACCATCTAGACACTGTAACAGCAGTACCTTTTCTCTGCCTGTTTTCTGAGCAGCACAAAGAAGAGAGCAGCAACACAGAGCGCCAACACTAATCCAGCCACCACAAACAATCCTTTGGAGAAACAGGGACATGTCGATGTGAACGATTCAAATTGTAAATGTAAAAACTGAAACCTCAGCATGAACTTACCAATAATAATGTAATTTGAACCAGGTTCTACATCCAAACCTGGTGAGAGAAGATCAGAGATCAGAATCACAAACAGATCATCAGTCTATAAATGAGTCTTCAAAAAAGTTCCTCACCATCATCAGACGTCTCTGTGAGTCCAGGAACGGTGACCAGCAGCTCTCTGAGAGCAGCAGTTTGCACTAATACTGAACATTCAACCTGTGTGCTGTTGAGAGCTGAGAGCAGAGCTGTGGTGGTGGAAGTGACGGTACCGTTGGTGTTGGTCACTCTGCTGGTGTTGTAGTGGGAGAAGCTGAGGTTCTGATGGAGAACAATCAGTGTTACCATGGGAACAGGTCGACCTGTGGCTGAACAGGTCACAA